TGTACAGTTAACTTTCTGAACTTCGAGAACTAATACGTCACAGATTCTAGCCACTGGGATTCCAAACAATCTTGCTGAAGCACGAAATATTGCAATAACCCATGATCGCACGGCCTGTCCGGTGCGCGTCGCCAATGATTTACAAAGATTTCTCAGGCCTAAATGCCCGCCTTTGTTGCACACGTCACATTTGATAAGTATCCTATTGATTTCAAGAAGTCTATACATGCAGACATGTCTTACTGTACTTAACAAAGATGCGCTAAAACTGTCGAACAAAACGAACAAGAAATATGATCATTAAAAGTAAAAGTACAACTATGGCAGAATAACACAGCATTTGGGCTTCTGTTTTAAACAATTGCAACATCTTTTCGAGCGGATAGCACTGGCAGCCTTTCTTGTATCCCTTCAAAATCATGCCGTTGCCGATCTTAATTCATTTTATCCTCCGTCTTGTCTTTTATTCTTGCTACATACCAGCACAAATCTTCCCGGCATTCATTACCTTGATCATGTTGCTCATGTCAGATCGAAAACATAGAATCTCATTGAAGATACAGTGCAACTTGTTGGTAGCATACGCCATTACAGACGAATTTTGGTGCCACCTTCAACTTTCTCTTTTTGGCAACTGCAAAGTGGTTCTGTTTATGCGTTTTCGCTGTGCAACGCTATAGTGTTGTTACAGCAAGCAAAACGCATATTGCGACGACCGCTAGTGCGCATGTGTGTGTGTGTGTGTGTATGTGTGTGAGTGTGTATGTATGTGTGTGTGTGTGTGTATGAGTCTGTCCAGAAATTTCAATTCGGCAACCATGCAAGCTTCGGAGCCAAAATTTTGCCAGCGGGTCCCCCCAAGTTCCACCCCAGGACCGTGGCAGTAGCCCTCACTTACGTCTGGGCCCCGCTTATGACTATTTGAAAGTTTTGGCAGGAAAATGGCTAACTCGTGGATCAGAAAAGCTGGGAGACTGAAATTTTAAGAGGATGTTTCTAGCCCATCCACAAGTTAAAGTGCTCAAATTCAGACCCAGTTTTACCTGGTTCTTACGTACGTTTCCGCGAAGGTTTTTGGTGGCAAAATTCGATAACTCGGGAACTCTAAAAGCTGGGAGGCTAAAATTTTGAAGGTATGCTTCACGTGCACTTAGAACTCAAAGATTCCAAATCCATCCCCCAGATATGCATGGCTCCCATGTATGGCCCCATGAAAAATTTCGGCGGGAAAATGATTGACTCGAGAACCAGGAAAACTGGGAAGCTGAAATTTAACAAGGGGATGTTCCCAGCCTACGTACAACTTAAAGACTTCAAATTGAACCCTCAGGTATGCGTGATTCTCACATACAATCCCGTGAAAATTTTTTGGCGGGAAAACTCGCTAGCTCGGAACAAGAAAAGCTGGAAGGTTGAAATTTTAACAGAACGCTTGCTTTCCAAGTGCACACGTGGCGGTTGTGCGACTAACTTTCTGAAGTTCGTGAATAAGTATTTTATAAATCCTAGTTATTGTGGTTATAATCAAATTTACAACATGAGATGCTGCAAAAGCGCATGATCGTTCAGACCCGCCCAGTGTGCGTCGTCAATGATTCTTATTTCCGCACAACAAAATATACACGGAGGAATTGAAATGTGTTGCTTTTTGAGAAAATCCAAATTTGCAGTTACAACTTATACGACTATTGGCTATGGCAACATAACAGCAAACAGCAAACTTGGGAAGTTGGTGACGATGCTTTATGCAGCCATCGGTATTCCTCTTCTGCTGCTGATACTGCACAAGCTAGGCCGGCAGTCACTTCGCGCCCTCGAAAGCTTCTGGGAGCACCTTCTCAGGCAATTCATATAATAATAATCAAAGCTAAATTAGCAACACATTAGTAAGGCAATGATAGCTACTGATTTTAAAAAGAACCTTATCGAATTTGGCATCGGAGACACCACCTTTATTTTCCTCAAGGATTTTCAAAACAATTTCTAAAAAAAGGAAAAATTAGGTGTCAGAAAACACGTGTCTTCTTTTCTCCGGATTGAGTGATTCTGCATCCAGCCGTCTAAACTCATCTCGGCGCGTTGAATATAAAACATTTACAAACACGGCGATAAAAAGTTCCAAAATTTGAGCTATGTTATCTATTGCTCATACATAAACATGCACATTTATGTATACAAAAAACATGCATACACGCATATATAAATACATGCATACACACGTCAATGCATACGCCGATACAAAAATTTCAAGTTTTTCAAGCTATTTTTAAGAAGTCCAGGCGATGATTAAGTCCATATTTAAGTAAATTTTGAGATTTCAAAGCGATATATGTTAAAAATC